CACACAGAAGCAACAAACAGAACTGTCCGATTCATAAACTGCACAATAACGTCCCGAATTGAAGGTCCGGTTGCAAGAACCAAGGCAAGTTCACTTTTATCAATAAAGAAGTTATTTACCATCTCGTGTTCGGTGAACGGTGGCCCATCGATTGATGCGAGAGCACCAGGCGTGTCCGGATAACACGACAATGAGAAAAGTAAAATGGACTTTTGGTTGGAGATTTACGTGAGTACAGTTCACCTTTACATTGATTGAAATATGTTGCGAACAACAAAAGAGCGATTCTTTCGATATTCATCCTTTTAACTGGCTAACAAAAAGAATATTTCGCTCAAAAATAAAGTCAAGTTAAAATATTTTACTAAAAGATGTTTCAAATACAATTACATTTTAAAAAATGATGAATTTATTAAGTTCTTGCATGAAAAAATCAAATTAAGCAAGTAAGCAACGTTTCTTTATTCAATGTTTTAAAATTTATTAAACACAATAAACTTTTATCAATAGGCTCGTGATGCATTAATTTCAAATTAATATAATTTTCAAAAAAAAGATAACATTAAACTAGAAGCCAAACCTAGAAATTTTATATTCTTTCAGAATCTTTAACTCTTAAATTCTTTTTAACTTTTTACTAATAATTATTTTCCACGTCGATTTCTCCTGGAGAAATAAATAATGTATAACTAAAATTAACTAAAAATTTCGATCCGTTAGACGTCAGTGTGCAGTTTACCGATCGTATCAAGAAGTATGTATTTTTATGATTAAATGTAATCAGCAATAAATCGCGTCTTGAGTAGTTAACGAATTATCGCCTAATCTTGACGCGAGGAACGACTTGGCCCGCGTTGTTTGTCGAGTAATTATTTTCGATGAAACGGGACAGGTGCCGTTATTTAGACAAGTCAATCGTCGTCGGTGGCAGCAAACCACCGGTGGTTGTTGCGCAAACATTCGCGAGGGCCTACGCATTATGATTGCAAACCGCCGACTATAAACCGTCACAGGTCGCAGGTCTCGCAGAATTCGTGTTTGCGTATCAATTGCACGCATGCACAAATACAGAAGTCATTCATGAATCGACGTCGGCATTTCGTACCAATAACGCCATTGTTAATAATTCAATGTTTCTTCCTATTCTAATTGTCAATCATCACTATGTTAGAAAATATTTTAAGAATAATTCATGTTTGTACTAAAGTTTTATGTTTTCTTATTAGACAGTTTGATTTAAATAATTTTTATGTATGTAAGACAACCAGAATTAATGAATTATTATAAAAATTAATAGTAAGATAGATACATTTTCGAATATTTTATAATATTGTTATTCAATGTAAATATAACAAATACAGTTATTAATTAATTTTATATAACTACACTTTCCTTATATTTATAATAATTTATACTATTCTTCTTAACGAAAATTTTGAAACACCAGTAATTTTTAAGTTATAAAGAAAACCTCAAAAGAAACTTTTCATAAAATAATCTTTAAAGAGCCAAATAAATGACAAAATTATACTTCCAAATATAATAATTTGTTGTATCGTATGTATTTGCTTACAAATGATTGTGAAAGAATTCACGTCGGCAAACGTCACAAAAATTTAACCGTGTCGCACCGCACACGTGCATAACAATTCGTCATTATGGGACATAGAATTCTCGTGAACTGCCTATGAAAAAGAGTGTCAACAGCCGCGACCCTAAGCAACCTCGCAGCGCAGGTAAAGTTTTTACCAAACTGAGCGATCATTGAACTGAACTTTGTTCCACATAAACACTTATTTATGATATACAGGGTGGGCCATTTTAATCCATCCACGCAAATAACTCCGTAAGTAAGCCAAATACAGAAAAATGGTTCAGACAAAAGTTATTCAGGACAATGGGGGTCACCTATTTATGCTAGTGACTTTGACCTTGAAAATTGACTTCAAGGTCAAAATCACTAGC